TTTTAGCTCATCCAATCAGAATTTTAGAATTAGAAGAATACATCAATAACAGTGAGCGCTCACTCAACTGTTGAGTCCGCTGAATGCGCTCAATGGCAGCAGTAAGGGTGCCATCACATGCGGCGTAACCAGCGTAAGCGTAACTTGCACTGACCAATCATATTGTTTCACTTGAACATCAATTTCTGCTAGTCATTTTATGCTTTTTACGCTATTTTGTTGTTACGCCGAACCACAATGTGTCGAATCTAACTTCTGGCTTGTTTTATAGCGTTTTCGGCCCGATCGGGTTTGCACCAACCTTGGTTGGATTAATCTTTCCTATTGGTTGATGTCACCGGCTCTACCAATAGGAGAGCACAAAACGCCATTAATCCAACCCAGGTTGGTGCAAACCTGGCCGGGCCGAAAACGCCATTAGCTTATTCTGGATGTGTTCCCATTTGTTGATTTCCAGTTTAGTATCCAGAACCCGCCATATTGTATTACTGGGAGAAGCGTTTTCTTTGGGCCTGAGCACAATAGAGGAACAGGAATTAGATATTAAGATTTTAGCCTATCAGAAACTGATTACATCGGAATACACGGTTTCTGATAGGTTGAAATCTTAATATCTAATTCTTGTTCCTCTATTGTGCGCAGGCCCTTTCTCTAGTAAAAAGATCTAGTAAAATCATAACCTAAATTCGTACGTACTTCCACATGCTTCAGAGAATCGTTTCCTCGGGCGTGTTTAATTTGCGATTAAGGTAAATTTTCACGAGCTGCTCAAACCGGCTGTTTCAGCTACAAAAAGGGTCACGTGATCAAAATGGCCGCTTAATATTCGTCAATTATGACAACGTGATTCTTTTTATCGCTGAAACAGCCGGTTTGAGCAGCTCGTGAAAATTTACCTTTTAGCAGAAAGGAATTGTGTTTTTATATTTGTTTCAGTTTTGTTGTATTGTTTAATTAGTTGATGCTGTTATTAATTGTTTTCATTGTTAGTGGCTGGTTTATCAAATAATATTATCCACATGTATAAGTTTTTGAAAAATTTTTTAAATGGTTAACAAACATGAAATTTATACAATTTACAAGAAATCAGCCACTAACAATGAAAACGATTAATAACAGCATCAACTAATTAAACAATACAACAAAACTGAAACAAATATAAAAACACAATTCCTCTCTGTTTAATCGCAAATTAAACACGTCCGGGAAAAC